TTTAACAAGATTTATAAAATACTTATATGCATTTTGTCTAAAATTACATTTTTAACAAGTACTTTTCTGAGAAGTTAACATATACTTATAAAACTTAGCTTTGGTACAGTTACTTTCAGTGCTTCTTTGCTTTTTCAAAAATAAAGTTATCATGTATGCTTGTACCATTTTTATAGAGGCAAATACACTTGCAGCTATCTCATTGTATGAAACATCTGCCTAAGGGATGATTTAACAAATTTAAACACTAGACTGTGAAAGGGTTAATATTATTAATTACTGAAATCAATTAGAAGCGTTATTACTGATGATCACGAGAGTGGATTAAATATCAGAAACAGACATTATCACTTATTTTCATTGCCAGCTACCACATAACAGAATAATTCGCATTGATCTGCATTTAAAAAGAATTATTAATTTTAAACATGAATTTCAATAATAATTTTAGTCTAGCTGTCTTTACATGTAAAATGCATTTTCTAACGTGGCTGGAATAAAGTATAGAATAAAATTTTGGATGTAATTAATTTTGGCAAATTTGTCATTTTGATAGCCAATCACTAAAAAACATTCGCCGCTTTGAACCATCATGCACATGCTCAATGGCACATGGCCACAATTATTTGCGAAATTAAAATTCGCCAATCACCAAAATTTTGAAATTTGCAGTCCCTCCAAAATTTTCTTCTGTACAGTACTTATTTCAGTGTGGTTGCAGTCTTTTCAAAGTATTATGTTTGTTATTTAACTGCTAGAAAGCTTTCGTGGATCGCCCCAACTTTAGTTGAGATAGTCGCCATTTTTCTTCCTGTGACAACACCTATTTCAAGTAGGAGCATAGGCAGAGGTTTCCTTTTACTCCAATAGAATGTGTATGGAAGAAATTTTAAGTTTAGACATACGAATATCTGAATATAAATAGCGAGACAATGAAAACAATTTTGGGAACAAGAGGGAACTGTGCCCCAGGTCGTTTAATATGTTTATGAATGTGTATTTAACAGTTGCCAAATGGACAAAAAGAAGCCAAAGACTTGGTACATTGCTTGTAACTTATCCAAAGAATACTCCACTCATGTGTTGTATGAGTCATTTGCAGAGATATGAAAGTCAGGGACCATAGTTTACATAATAAAGTTATAAACTTTTGTTTTATTGGTGTTTGTTATATAGCCAAGTACACAGATGATGGTGCAAGTAGCAAGAAGAATAAGATGAACTTAAATATCTGAAAATCCCTTGTGATGGTCACATGTCATTTTGATTGGAGAACGAAAGAAATACTGAGTTGTATAATGGAGAAATGTGAAAGAGCAGATGTTGTATGAAAGCTAATTGCCTGCTATCATGTTTGATGCATTTTAATGCTGCATGATTAGCTATCTCTATTATTAGTGTACAATTTAAAAGTGGAATTCTTATATTATTTGGCTTTTTTAATAATGTAAAGGCTTGTGATGCTTATTGTCACTGTGTGTCAGCTGCAAGTACTAGATATAAATGACTTTCTTACACTTTAATTTATTAGCAAGGTATACTACAGGGCTGAATGCGTCAGCACAGGCAGAAAAATGATCATAGAGAAAACCAAGTTTCATTAATGTATTGTCTTTAAGTTGGTTTAACGGTTCAATCTTTCTTCAATGGAATTGATAATTGATTTTAATTCTTTTGCAACTTGTGAATGATGTTATCTATTTATACTTTAAGCCCCCATACACTGGGCAACTTGTTGCCTGCAACATGGCTGTAGGCAACATGTTCATCAAAAACAATACACTAGAGCAGCTTGTTCCTTGCAACACATGTTATTAAGTTGAGAAAAAGGTTTATAAAAATGGCTGATTCTTTGCAAGTTAATGCGTGTGGTGTTTTACTTGCGGTTGCAATAACTAAAAAGCATAAGAAAGAAAAAATCGTAGGATAT